AAAAGATATGGCAACATAATACCTTAAAAAATTTCTTTTTCCTTTTTTTTTTCTCTCTCTTTGTTTTTCTTTTTTTCCCTTTCTTCTTCTTCCTCTACCTTTCCTTTCACCTTTTGCAAACCCTAACACCTCCTAATATTAAATCCGAGGATAACACAACAAATCAACAGATCGAACTCAATAGATCTTTCAATCTAACTGCAGTTGGGTTGGAAACAAAACCCATCGCTTGCTAGGTTTGATCACCTACTGGATTCGATTTTGAACCTAGCACCTGCAAGAATTTGAAGAGAACACAACAGACAACAAATACATAAATAGATCAAACTCAACAATCTATCGATTCAACGACTGCTGAGTTTGAAATAGAACCCAATATACAACAGATCGACAAACAAATTGAACTCAACAGATCCATCGACCCAATGGTTGCTAGGTTCAAAATGGAATCCAGTGCCTGTTGGGTTCGAAATCAAACCCAACACCTATAGGAACCCAGCGGCTGTTGGGTTCGATCACTTGCTGGGTTCAAAATTGAACCCAGCACCTATAAGAACCCAACGGCTGCCTTGCCTTTTTCATCTTCATCAATCAATTTCTCATCATCATCAAACAACAAAACTCTTTCTATTTTCTTATTGTTTGCCCCTGGGTTCGATGAAACCCAAGGCTGGGTCCCAAGGAACCCAACGCCTGGGTTCGATGGAACCTAGGCGTGCTGGGTTCCAAGGGGAAAGAGAAGGGGAAAAGGAAAGAGAAAGAAAAAGAAAAAAAAAATTAACCTTTATTTTTCATAATATTTTTTTATATTATTATTTTTTCCATGTAATCACTTGTTTTAGTTTTATTGTCTTCCAGGTGTATTAATATTTGACATGTCATCCTTTTCCCATCAAGTAACAAGACACATAGGTGGATATTTAACGGAAGGACCAAATTGAGGTTAAAATGGTAAACAATAGGGACCAAATCAAATACTTTTTTAGTTTAGGGACCAAATCAGGGTCCGTACAATAGTTCAAGGACCAAAATAGAGTTTTAACAATATCAAAACAAATGTATTTAGCAAGCTCTCATTAGCTCAATCACCCCAACATAAGTTTCCCTAGTGCTTATTTGATCCATTTTGGTATAAAGCTTGGGAAGTCTTGGTTCTAGACAAATTCTTTTGATTCATTTTCCATTGATGTTGTATCTATTTATTATTTGATCAATGAAGTTTCTATTTCCATAATATATATATATATATATATATGATGTTGCTCTTTAGATGATCTTAAGGACACAGGGTTGGGTGATGGAGGAGGGGTGTAGCCTCATCGGAAGGTAGGAAAGGGGTGTGGGGAGAAGAGGGTGGGAAGTGCTGTGAGTGGTTGGTTGGTTGGCAATGGCATTGAGGAAAAATTAGAGGGAGAAGGTTTAATTGGAGAACTTCGGAAGAGGGGAGGTTCTCCTTTCTTACCTAAGCCCAATTTGATTGGGCTGGAGCTTGCCCAGGTTGAGGGAACGGGAGCTGATATATTGTCTTCATTTGTTTAGTTTCTTGATACTGTTTGGATGGGAAGAAAATTTGTATGAATGGAGTGGAATAATTTGTATTTAAATCCTATTAAAATTGATGAGAATTTTTATTTTAACAAATTTCATGATTTAGAAGTCTAAAATTAAATTTTATTTTTTTAATCAAACCAAACATAAAGATGTTAAATTATAAATGTATTTCATATGCTTTTTATGAATTTTTTTTTTTATACTAAATCTTAGAAGATGAAAGTGACATTGAAGCTCAATTAATTTAAAATCGAGTTTCGCCAGACTATATAAAAGGTAAAAGTCTCCTAATTCTTATCTTTCTATTCACAACACTTAAACTCTATACTTAAAGAGAATTAAGTTACTTTTACTCAAACTAACAAATCATTGATTTTATAAAATTCATTTATAACTTAAGAAATTATAGTTTAATTGGTAAAAAGATTTACTCTCTATTTTATTTTTTCTTTTTAATACATCTAAATGGATTATACAACAAGTGATAGTCCTCACATTTCCCTAAATCCCTTTCCACTTGACTTAAGGTGTAAATTTAAAATCTCTTACTTAAAATCTCAAACTTTTAACTATTGACTCATTTCTTTATGAGTTACTCTCTACTTTAGTAATTAAGATTCGATTTTATGAAAAAACCAATAAAAAGATAATTTTTTATAAATTTTTTAATTCTAGAGACATATTGACCACTGAATTAAAAAATTAAATAAATAAATAAAACTTATTTATATCAAGCACACCATAAAGGAAAAACTATTAAAGTAGAATTTTAATGTCAAGGTGGAAACAAATTGAGAAACGGCGTACAACAACGAGAATTTAAAGAGGGGAGAGTTGGGCAGAAACCATTGATGCAATGCGTGACTTTGAATTTAACAAAGAAAACATGCGGCCGTCTGCCATGTGCCTCTTTCTTTGACATTAACATATGACCATGAAATGTCAATTACAGATCAACTAGATGGAACCTTAATGTAAGAAAAAAATGAAATTAGAGATGCTCTTCGTTCTTCGCTAGTCTTCACGCTAAAGCTGCGCGTTTATATTCTTTCTGCAACGGCTTTTGCGTTACGGCACTCTGCTCACATTAACTCATCTTTAAGTTAATATCGGAGAAACCCATTTTGCAATTGTTTAACATGTGTCTTAAATATATTAGTTAATAGTATATTAATTATATTTTTTTATTTTAATTTCATATTTATATTAAGGGTTAAGAGATAATTTTTATTTTTATTTATTTTATTTTTAAAAAAATTCAAAAAGGAAAAAAAGAGAAAGCTTTTTAATGATATGATGAATAAGTAAAATTAAGAGATGATGATAAGACTAAAGTAAAGAAAAAATATTTATCTTTTTTTAAAATATGAAAAAACAACAATTATTTTGAAACAACAAAAAGTATTTTTTATTAATGAATTTTTTTAATATGTATTTTTAAGAATATATTTATTATATTTTTTCACTATTAATTTATATTCTTTCTGTTTATTTTTAGTATATTTAATTTAATTTTTTAATTTTTTAAGCACAAATTTCAAATAAAAATTTAACATATTATATAAATGATAATTAATTTTTTTATTAAATGAAAATACTCAACAAGAACTTTATATAGAAAAAAAAACTTTTTAATTATTAGTCATAAAAGTTATTAAATTTTCATTTTAAATTTATATATAAAAACTTAAAAAATAAAACTAAATTTACTAAAAATTAACAAAAAAAGGTATGAAAAATTATGAAAATAAATTTTATTTTCAATACAAATGTCACTT